CTGGACAATACAAGAAACATCAAAAGAAGATGGAAGGAATGCACAGAATCACTGTAACAAAATGAATTCATGTATGTTCAACTATTTGAGGAGGTGGTGGTGGCTGTGTGCCGTGGAGTTGGTTCCCACTCATAGCGACCCTGTACGGGGTTTCTAAGGTTGTAAATCTTTACGGAGCAGAGCGTCTCATCTTTCTCCTGTGGAACAGCTGGTAGTTTCGAACTGCTGACCATGCGTAGCCTGATTCGTAACCACTGTGCTCCCAAAGCTCCTTATTTGAGGAGGTAACATATCACAAAGAACTGATGGTATTGAAGGAAGAAGGCCAAGCTGCACTGAAGACACTAGTTCCAGGATTATCAACTGAGATGCTTTCATAAATGGATGCAATGCTTGAAATCCTCTCTCATCTATGCCAAAAAATTGGGAAGATATCTACGTGGCCAACTATCTAGTAGAAACCCACATAAGAGATACCGTTGCTGGAATTAGATGGATTTCAGCTGAAATCAGAATATCAGAAAAAAATATTTATCTGTATGTTACTGACATTTAACTGTGTGCATCATAACAATTTATGGATAATATTGTGAAGAATATGAATTCCAGAACACTTAATTGTGCTATAATGGAATCTGCTCGTACACCAAGAGGCAGCCTTTCAAAGAGATCAAGGGGATACTGCATGCTTTTAAATCAGGAAAGGTATGTGTCAGGGTTGCATCCATTCACGAAACTTACTCAGTTTGTACACTGAGCAAAAAATCTGGGAAACTGGACTATATGAAGAAGAACATAACATCAAGATTGAAACAAGTCATAAACAACCTGCGATACGCAGATGAGACAACCTTGCTTACTGAAAAGGAGGAGGACTGGAAGCAGGTACTAAGGAAGATCAAAGAATACAGCCATCAGTATGGATTGCACCTCAACATAAAAAAAAAAAATGCTTACAAATAAACCAATAAGCAACTTACGATTAATGTACAAAATATTGAATTTGTCATGGATTTCATTTTAGTTAGATCCACAATTGATGTCCATGGAAGCAGAAATCGGGAAATCAAATGGTGTGAGGCATTGGGCAAATGTGCTACAAAATATCTCTTCAAAATGTTCAAAACCAAACATATAATTTTGAAGATTAAGGTTTGCTTAGCCCTAGTCATGATGTATTCAATCACCTCATATGCATTTGTCAGCTGGAAAATGATTAAGGAAGACTGAGGAATTGATACCTTTGAATTATGATATATGTAAAAAATATTATATCTTCTATGAGCTACCACAAGAACTAACAAATCTGTCTTGGAAGAAGTATGATTATAATGTTCCTTAGAAGTGAGGATGGTGTGATTTTGTCTCACTGACTTTGAACATGTTATCTGGAGGGAAACAGTCGTTGAA